CTCCCGGTGTAACATGGAAAATGCTGATTCCATCTGCTGAGCAACCCTTCGCAGACTTCAAACACCTTTATTACCCAATTCTCGGTGCTGCTGTGATCATGTTCCTGCGATTTATCTTTGAAAGGTTTGTATTGTCGAGAAGGAAAACTTTGGATTTGACATTTATTTTAATGAAAAATTCAGAAACCGTCGCTACTATTTGCTTTTACAGACAGAAGGGGAAATGAAGAATTATGGGAAGATAAAATGTGACATCTTCTACTCTGTGAACTGAGTTGTAAATAAGTTGGGCGAATGCTGAACTTAGAAGTAATGGTTCATTTGCTAAATTAGTTACTTCCTTTTGAAAAGCATCAAGTTGAATTTTGTTCTCTCTTTCTTTGGTTCCTAAGGGCCTTCAAAAAATTTCATTTGAAGATATTACTGGGGGGACAAATTTTAGTCAAGGAGGTCTTCACGCAAGTACATTCAGCACCTTTTTTAATGGATTGGGACAAAAAAAAAAAAAGAAGGTACATGTCATGGTTGGTACAAATCTTGACGTGACTTTTTCTTTGAATTTTATCATTTCTCCCCACTTCCAAAAATGTTCAGTTCATTTTTTCACGTATCTATCGTATGAAAAAAAAATTGCTGTTTAATGTGATTTTCAAGGGGCCTTTAATTTTAATATTCACCCGAAATAGCTTTTCAAATGGGAATTGCGGTAATTGAAAACTAAGGTGCCGGGATGACATTTTTTCAAAGTTTTCTTTAGCAAAAATAATAGTGAAAATGGTAAATTTTTCTGAATTGACAGAATAAGGAGAGGGACTGAAAGAAAAATTTTCATGGGTAGGCCTTTGACTGGGAAGTTTAATTGTACAGTGTGTCACTTTGGAAAACAATTCATGGTTTTTTTTCCCCGTTTTCAATAGATTCGTGTTCCGGCCTTGGGGTGTGATGTTGGGTATCAAACCACGTAGAGCCAAGTTGGACCCCGAAATAAAAGCTGCATTTGAAAAGGGGGAAGTGGGTGTTGTGGAGTTGAAGAAATCGCGGCAATTGAACGAGCGACAATTGGAGCGCCTGCGGCGGAGGCACAACGCATTGAGCAAGCCCGAGACTCTGTCCAAGTTTTGCGAGAATTCTTGGCGATTTTTCTTTTATACCGGTATGACCTTTTATGGATGCTGGGTGCTGAAGGACAAGGCCTGGACTTGGAACATCACCGATTGTTGGCGAGGGTATCCTAAACACGTGAGCATCCAATTGTAATGCAGTAAAATGTTTATTCTCTTTTTTTTTCTTACGAATAACTCATAACGAATTCGTTCGTCTGGTCCATATCCAATAGCCGCAATTTTATTTGAGTTACGTCACACACAAAAATGTTCGCAATAATAAAGCTATTTTCCTGGTCCCAATGGCTTTGTTGTAGCGAGAGTTCACTGTATAATCACTGCTTAATCAGTGAATAGATTTATTGATTTCTAGTGGGAAATCTATTATGCAGAAA